CACGCTCTACTTGTCTGCGCCCTCTCACTTCTGGCTGTTCTCTCCCGCAGAGTGCGTGCTTCGTAGCGGGATCCTGGAGCGGAGAAAGTGGCACTCTACTGCAGTTGCGAACTCATTTACTCGCACGTGGAAGGGTCACTTCTCGAGAGTGAATGTCCAGTTTCCAGTTGCAGTTTGTCTCCAAGTATTTTATCTGCAGTTTTGCCATCTGATGCTACATGATGATCCTAAAAAATACCCACCTTAAGTTAGAGAAAGCAAATTCAGAAAGAAAATAGTAATCTCGATAATCTTGAGACTGAAGCACTCTGAAATCAGGAGCAAAAACCACCATGAAAATGGGTCAAATAATGAAGAAAATAGAGGGTAAGAAAAGTCGGAGCGGTGCAGCAATTCCAGTGGCATATGAGCACGACTACGCGTTGGTAGTGCGTCGACGTCGCGAAGTCTAGACGCAGCCACGTATGTGGCAAGAGAATCGTAATTCGTCGCGCCGTTGGCGTCGCGTGCGACGTCGCGCCGCTAATGACGACGATTTTAGGTGGTATTGGTCGAGAATAGACAATGTATGACCAAAAATAGACATAAGTGTCCACCATGTCCTTGTCTACATGAAATCCGATGCTCCAACGAACGACAGGGCAACTTAAGAAAACCTCGCGCCCATTGCCGCGCGCGACGAAGCGGCAATTTACGATTCTCTTGCCCGGCCCCCAGACGCACCCTAGGCAGCGCCACTTGCCACTCCAACATCTCTCCGTCGATCTATAAATTGGAAGTTTTGGATCACACACACTTTTTCAAAGTTTGATCCGTTAATTGTTTTTTAATAAAAAATTTAAATTGCAGGTTACTTACCCTTGTCCACTACATATCGACTCTTTTCCATATGATGTCCAAAAATGCAATCTAACCTTAGGTCAGTTCCTTTCAGAATGATTTATGGTTTGAAAAGACCTCCGGCACGGATCGACTCCCCTCATGTTTCTTTTCTTCGCTTCTCTTAGAAAACTGAACATTTTAACCTTTTTCACACTAGGATGTTCGAAAGTACCAAAGCTTAGTTCTGCGGTAGCTGAGAGCAAGTAAGCAACCCTTAGGCAGAAAAAGAGGGAAAATATGATTATCGAAACGACCTCGTAGATAGCAACTTTCCTGTGTCAAATTGTTGGGAAACTTTTGTTCTAAACCGAATATGTGAGAAAGCAACATCACGGCTGAGTGAAATCTGCCGCCTCCACGTTCAAAGCAAGTGTGCAGCAACGCCCTTCCCATTCCAGGGAGATGGCCTGCAGCCTGAGAGTAGGGCCGTGAAGGCTTCACAAATTCTATCCTGGCGAAAGCTTGGCTTGAGAAAGTCGTCACGGTGAGGACGCCATGGTTTTTAACAAGGGATAGTCGAGGCGGTTCCGCTGCGATGAAAGAGACATTTCTTTGAAGCTTTGCTTATACCTTCCAACCATAGAGAATTGGAAAAATTGCTGGGGAAAGTATACGTAGCATACGTATTGATTCGAAAATAAGAGATCCGGCGACTTGGCGTTTTCAGAGAATACGCGAAAAGTTTCAATACCGTATCGATTCTTTCGCTGCTGGTCGTTGATTCTCCATTTGAGCTCGACCCTATCAGTCCATACGTATTTGATCTTTAACGTATTCCCTGCAAACTACTGGGAACTGCTGGATCTATGACAACACTTTAGAGTCGCAAACGTATGAACGGGTAGCCTCACGCCAAACGCTCCTCGTTACCAGGTGGACAACTGCTGTCCACAGGAACAATTAATCAGTCATATGTGACTGGGCGGGGTGGTGCTGTAGTGACAAGTAGCGCGCTTACCATCGTGCCGTCTTGGGTTCAAATCCTGGGTCGACTCCCTCCCAGACCAACCAAGTCCTCTACCCCAGGGACGGTAAATTGGTACCAGATTCGTCTGGGAGGATAAGAACACTGACTTGTACATCGGCTGGCCCCCGCAAGTCATTGTATAGGCCACATCGCATTCAATATCCTGAATGGAAGTAGAATGCGTGCCGCATCCCACAAAGGGATTGATCTACGGCGAAGACTTTATCTCTTTTTTATGTGCTTGAGCTGAACCTACTAATATTGTTTTCTTGGCGAAATGAATTTTCAGGCTCATGGGAATTCCAAAACAGCGAGGTAATGGTCCAGCCTTCCACTGACCATATCGACGCCTTGGATGGACAGTTTGAAGTCATCTTTTCGATATTATCTATATATAGAAGCACTGTCGCATAGTCTTTTATCTTCAGGGGAACAGCGAATGGGAATTGTGCGGTATCAAAGCTATCTCAGAAATCCAATTTGATGAATTTGCGGTAAATACAACTTCCATTATGACACTCGTGCAAGCTAAATATTTAGACAGTGTCGATGGCATAATGAAATTTGAGCCACTTGAAATTAAAAGCCTCCGGATAGCAGCTCTGTCTGGTTGTTCAAAGAATGCCTTAGTATCATCTCAGAAATTCCCCGTCAGGTACAAAGGTAGAAAGGGACCGAATCGCACTGGTTGAGCCATATTGTCATTGTGCGCTCTTGAGCATTAAGGCAGTTGGCTCGATGATTTAGTACTTGGCCTAAAATGCTAGCAGGGCGCTATATAGTGGGGAAAATGGCGAAAAACGAAGTGAAACGGTCAAAAACCTGCGAAGAAAAGCCTTCGTTCTTAATGACTCGAAAAGCAATTTCGGACGAGTTTCCCGTAGGCATCTTGCCAATAACCGCTACGGTAGATACGGCTGCACGTATGCACTCATATATCCATGCAGCACCGCAGCCGCTTCATATCAATCCTTTAGTCATATTGTACTTCGCAAATGAAGCAATACGAGCATCAGGTACGGTCGTCTATTTGTTAGCGGGCGGACGCCGTGGGCATCCGAGTCGGTATGCTGTGACTTTATAGAGCTTTATAGGGGTACCTCTTTTGGAAAAGGCGCTACGCAGCGCTTGCCAGGGTCGCGGAATTCCGTCCTGCCAGGCGCTTTAATCCTGCTCGTCTTATGTATTTAATTAAATTATTTAAACTAAACTTCAACTTATTGAACTCTTATGTATTTAAACTGCCTTCAATAGGAACTGCCTTCAAAATCAAGTGGCACAATAAATCCTCAAGCGTGTGGGATTAATATGCCTAGTAGGATAGATTTCGGCGCCCTGAGCAGGCGCTGTGTGGCGCCTATTCCGAGAAAGATATTGCGGCTTGATAGCTCTTATAGCGCCTTGAATATCGCACCACTGTGCTTAGTCCTTTTAAGCTTAAAGGCACGATTTCCGCGGATAAAATAACGTGCTAGGCTGATTTTATGACTCTCAATTGTGTCGGGACGATCGCGGAAGAGCCGTATTTTGAGGCTGCGCTACTTTCAAAATGTGAAAACGGCAAGAACTCCGCTAGAAGCTGACTAATTAGGCCCATGGACACCCCTTAGGCCCATGCCGACCCTCACCGGCTGCTAGCTACTAGCTAGTAGCCACTATGTTATCTTTCTCTATACCATTTCGGACTGCTTTTTCTGCTGCTTTTCTCCGCTAATCAGATACTTAGCACTTTTTTTGTGCCTATTTGAGTTCCGTTCCCCGCCATATTCTCGCCGGTCGCGAACTGTTGCCTTGTAAATAAGACATGGTTAGGAGGCGTTCCAAAACCTCTTTCACGAGGAAACTTATGGAAACTTGTTCTTGGTTACCGAAATTCCCTGTGTAAGAGCTAGAAATGTAGGGACTTGCGGACTGAGTACTCTGCGCAAGCAGAAGAAGCAAATGATTTTCACTTCTTCGACAAAGATGTGGGCGAAACTGTCAGTCCGAAGAGTCTCAGCTCCCGCTAAGACCCCCTATTTACCCGAGGGTGATAGTGCTAATAAATATCATCTGGGCAAATAAAACTGAACTGTAGGTGCGAATTTTTCACCTGCAGAGGAATTCCTCTTTTTGAAAAGCTAAGAAAGGGAGTTATACACGCATGAACGGCAAAAAATGTTCAAGAGACTTTCAAGATAAATTTTTTGAGCGTCATGTCGCTTCTATGTTACATATGGCCTAGGACAACAAAACAAACGACGTCCATGCGGCCTGGCGGGCCTTAGTTATTAGTGCTTCCTTTTTTCTGCCGCGGGGGCGGGCTTGGGCGGTCCCGGGCCTATGATTCATCTTGCTCGTCGGTTACGCGCTATGCTGCGTCTCTAGTTTTTATCCATTTTTACGGTTGTATTTGAATGCTTATTCCAATCTTACTGCAGATGTGTTTGTTTGAGCTGTTTGGCGCTTTTTGTTTTGTTTTTGCTATTTGATGCCCATACACAGCAAGTTATTTGTGTAATAAGTAGTGATTATAGGCGCGCCCTATTAGGCTGCAACATACTGACCCGGACGCGCTTCGCGCTCGTCGGCCCACAAATGTCCGACCGATGCTGGTGCTCGTATCGCTTCGTTTGCGAAGTACAATGGGAAGAGAAGGGACTGATATGAAGCGGCTGTAAAGCTGCATGGATATATGAGTACACACATGCAACCGTATCTACCGTAGCGTTACTGGCACAATGCCAACGGGCAACTCGTCCGATTTCTTTTTAAGTCCTGTAGAACTAAGGCTTTTTGCAGAATTTTGACCGTTTCACTTCACTTTTTCACCATTTTCCCATTACAAAGCCTACTCCTGCTACCACTCTTGAGCGTGTACCGAAATATAATGCCATCCGGCGTTACGATATCCCCAGGGAAGGAGCTCTTGGATCGACAATGTAGCGCAATGGCTGAAGGAGCTGTGACTTGGCTCGACTTGTCATCTTCTCGATTTCTGTAGCAGAAAGAGACCAGGTCCTTGCGCAGCCGGATGAAACGGGGAAAACCAACAATCAAAAAGACCTCCCATGACAAAATACGCCCCCTCTCTCACCAGTGTCCAAATACGACGTCCTACTGTGTTTCACGCAACTGTTGGTTCGAATGCTTTTGTCGTTTATCCTTACTTTTAGAGTACAGCATGAAGTAGCGCTGCAGAGCGACCCACCCACCCCCCCCCCCCCCCGACAACCAAATCTTCTCCTCCGGTGTCACTCCCTCTCTCAACCTACCCACCATTTACCAAAATTTCTTAACTTTTATAATCAAGCATCAAAAGTAGTAATTGTAGTGCCATCAGCAGGAAAGGTGAGGAATGTGCCATAGCGCGCATGAAGCGGGAGAAATCGACTATTCTTAAAGTTTCCATCGAGGTCCATCACGACGCCCCTCCTAGCGACCAAATACGATCCCTCCCCCTTACCCCCAGGATTTCGCGCAACGATGCTTTACCCTTTTACTTTTCCTGCTTACCGACTACCCACTCGCTAGTTCCTTTGATCCACAAGAGACAGGGCACGAGCGCGAATAGTGTGAAAGTCATTGAGGTCTGAGGTAACTAGATTGAAGGCATGGAAAGTGGAGGTGTTTTCGGAATGAGGTGGTGAAGTAAAAATCAGCGAGACTACAGGAATTCCATAAGATGATCCCTCCTTCCTTGGATCACTAGTCTTAACCGGTAATTTCTGGACGGTTGGCTAATTTCCGTAACATCTGCCGTAGTGCACCTGCCTCTCTGTAGCAAATGCAAGAACGCAGACGTCTCCGTAATGCATTCATTCCGCAACGGAGCACTGGTAGAGACGCTGAATCACTTCTATCGGAATTTAGGCACGTCTTAGGGTGTAACCTAGTGTGCCTCGCGTCGTGAATTCCTCACTCTGGTGCTACACGGCACTTTTTCTCTCCACTGCACAAGTACTACCATGAGCAGATTGCCATGTCCGCCAAGGTATCACCAGCCAAAACGTAAGAAAGTGAGAAGCTCGCTGCTGCAGCAGCAGCAGAAGGGTGTCAAATAACAAAAGCAGGAATACTGCTTTCCGGAGGTTTCTTATCTTCAGTGGAGCAGTTTTTCCTTGAGTCGAGCTTTTCAGAACGAGTCGCTACTCAGTAGTGATCTACAAGTACACGCGTTAAAAGCGGAACCAGGTCTACTATGTGCTGCTCGTTCAGGTTGGCCTTATAATACAGCGTACTAGATTGCCCTTTTCATTAATATACTCCGAATAGACTATCACATGCTTTATGTGTCGATTCAAAGACGCGTTATGAAAAGGGGTGATCGCAGTTTGTTGCTGACGAGGTATGATGGGACGTGTTAGTGGGAGATGGATTTGGCGAGTCGCACGTCGTTTCGGTCAAGTTGGTTGAAGCGGGTCACCGATGAGCAATTGGGTGCGTAAACGACTGATACCTCAAACGATAGGGTAAGTCTCGTTGCTTACCGAGTACGAGAACGGGCTGGTGAAACTTTGAAGAAAAACCCATCCGCTTGAGCGCGCTCGCTTACATCCTCAAGGCCGAAACAGGTTGGTATTCGACTGTGACAATATACGTACCTATATGTCATGAGTTATACCTCAAAATCGTAAAGGCCTGGCTTTACTTGAACGCGGCGCCGGTTGCGCTTTTGGTAAGTTGTGACCGTTTTGGAGCAATCTCCATACTTCGCGGCACCGTCCAAAGACGAGTACTATGGCGTGCCGGCGGTCTGGCCGCGCTCAGCAAGTAGGAAAATATTGTAAGGATACGGCCCAGGTCTGCCGGCGTCCATCAGCGACTAGCAACTCTCGGAAGGCTGGGGAAGTATCGGTTTCGATCTAGCGTAGTACAAGTGTCCCCCATACTCTCTACCAGCAATCTGTTGCTGGTTACTGGTGGAAACTAGTGGACGCTGACGACACTGACCGACGCTAGATTGATACCTATACTTCCTTAGCCCTCGAGGCGCTGGTCGCTGTCAGATAAACCCGGGGCTGGTGTTCGGGTCGTGGCTGGCTGGTGCGCGACCGGTCCCTGCGCACGCTGAGCTACACAATGCAACCGCGGCGAATCGCTCCGGGCGGCCCGCCGTCCCGGCGCCCGCGCTCGGCTGGGACGCGGCACACCGGCCTCTGACTGGTACAGTCGAGTCTCTTCGGCGTGTGGGGGCGGTCCTTCGTCCACGTTGGCAAGCGGTCCGACGCCGCCGCGATCGATAATGGCTGATACGCCAATTAACCTGATTGCTACCGTTTTCAGCTTCGAAAAGCTAAAATTATTCTTCGTTCAGCTTCAATAAGCAAGGGTGAGTATGTTTTGAGTGGGCAGAGCTAGATTTCATTTTGCATGAATTTAGTAAGTAGCATCGAAAGTTAAACGAAGACATTCACGAAAAGTAAAAAAATTGCGAAAAGAAAGAAGAAACAAGTTCTTTAAGAGAGTTTCATGCTGAATTCATACAGAATGTAATCTTATTCCAAGCTAAACATATCACCTATAAATTGAAACTGGAAACCAGACAATTTCAGCTTCTTATTCAAGCTGCAATATTGACCCAGAAAACACAACAAACGTTGGCCAGACAATCAGCTGGATTAAGGTAGCGGGTCAGCAACTCATCGATCGGCGGCCGTGGACGTTCAGAGTGAAGATGTGAGCAAGGGCGCGGCGGGGTGTGTTACGAGCG